CACACGAGTTACTGAAAGAAAAGTGTTTAAATCTAAAAACTAAGGAAATGAAAATTACATATTCTCTGTTCGAGAGTTTTGGATTCGGTCCTTTGCTTCTATGTCCTTTCTCCCTTTTATACTTCATAGACGATCTCTTTGTGATCAACTACTCTAAAAACTGCTTAATCGTCATATAACTATCCACTTTCTTCGTAATGGCTACCTTGTCATGAAAACTGCATTTTAACTGCTGCCATTACCCTTCATCGTTCAACCGCTTTCGATTGAATTCCTTGAATCGTGGAACGTGATAGGGCTGCTTTAATAACCGCTTTGATAACTGCACTTCTTGATAACCACGACGCGTTATGTTTGTTAATACCTTAGGCGACTTGAAGGTTTGGGCGAGAATAGAGTAACAGCTCTGGGCGACTGTATGACACTCCATTCGCTCAGATTCTGGGTGACTTGCAAACTTAGGCGATGGCGTTACCGCGTTCTTGGCCCTCCTTATTTGGGCCTTCATCTTGATTTGTTCGATTGGGTTTCGTTCTTTGGGCTATCTGATTTGGGGATTCTCCAATTGGGCTTCACTCTTTGAGCTGTTCGATTTGGGCTGAATTTTTATGTGTCAACAAATATATTTAGAGTTGGGAGGTTGAAGCAAAATCCTTGCCACCTTCTAAAATATGCACCCATAATCAATGGCGAATCCAGGAGTTTGAGTCAGCATGGGCGGACGTTGACGATCTACCATTGGCCGCAATAAAATATCAAAATTCCTTTTGGTATTCATTTTTTTTTTTTTTTGCAAAAAATGCATTTTGGAATGATGATTTGATAGAGAACGTCTGAACTTGTGACTAAAAATAAAGAAAAATTTTGAACTTACGTGTAATATTATTTTATTGAAGAATATATGGATGAAAAGAAGAAAGAAAAATGTAGTTTTAAAAATAAGGGGAATCGAACAAGGACTAAAGTATAAATATAACAATTATTTTGTTCAAAATGAATATATATAATTCTGTTATAAAAATAAATAGAACTCATCAAATAACATTGTTGTCAAGTTTTGTATAATTCAAAGGAAGAGTGTGAATTCGAATATTTAAAATTATTTGCATTAAAACAATCAAAACCTAAAAAAAATCATTTTGTAAATTTAGTAACACAATTCAAGAGGTACTATAATGGTTAAGTTCACCACAATCGTTGCTTGAGATCATGGGTTCAAATCCTCATTGTTTGTCCCTTTTTGAATTTTGGTAAAAATTATAGAATAAAAATAATACATAATAAGTCCATTGACAAAGATTCGAATCTAAGACTTGAAATATATTAAAGATCGCTCTCACCAAATAAGTTATAAAGATGTTTGAAAATAAAATCAATTACCAACAATATAAGGTAAAAATTTAATCTATTACTAACAAAAAAAAAAAAAAAACCCAAAGGAATTTGCAGGCACACAATAAAACGAAAATACATAAAGAAACCTTTGAACATTCATCTAAAAGCAATAATGTTGAGTGAAATTACTGAAGAATCCACATACTAAAAATTTCCTGGAAGTTTTTGATGCCCTGATTTCAGAGTGGACCAAGATGTATAATAGACATTGACTATCAACCCACAAAATACTTGGTGAAAGACTAAAACGTAAAAGAAGTATGAAGCAGTCGACAGCTTAAGCTCCACGAACTATTTATTTAACAGAACGTAACATGTTAAGGAATTCTTAATCCTATTATCACGCTTACTAGAGAAATCATGGATGCTGACAAAAAAATGAAAAATAAGTGATGTAGAAGAGAAATTAAAGAAGCCTACTCAGATACTCATAGGCCAGTATCATTGTAGTTCCCCAAGCTGACATGCTGAAAAATCTTGGGTCCAGACCTCTATATAAACCAGCCCATCCAACCTCCGCCATCAATTTTTTAACTACTTGTCTTGCAGTGGGTCTCTTTTCATTCCCTATCACCTGCAAGACACATAAAAAAGTTGAAATAAAATCAGAAGCCTTACAAAAATGGTCTTAATGTGCAACTGAACCATGCCATGTTTAAAACTCTAATAAAGATCATATGCATGGCTCTATTGTGCACCAAATCGTCAGAAAAATTTGAGGTTTAAAGAAAGTTTAGGTTGCAACTTGCGTACCATGTTCAGTATGCTAGCATGAAAGTCGACCTGGGATTGTCCATATTGCATCAAATGCTGTAATATACGAGTGCACTGGAGATGGGAGCAAGTTATACAAAAAAAAATGACCCCTGAGAGATGCCTCTCACGATGCATAAGGGTCCAGCAATTGTGGGATTAGTAGTTTGCAGGGTTTCTCTTGTGGGTGTAAAGCCCTTATTATTGTATGTTTCCTTAAGGACTCGTTTGCCAAGGTTTTTGGTTCTTGTATAATAGGCCAGCTCTTTCTAAAAGCTCTTCTAGTAAAAAAATAAAAATACTTCCAGAAAATTATTCAAATATGTTCAAAAGCACGATCATAGTCTCAAAAGCAGTTTTTGACATCAAAAGTCCCATAAATGATCCCTAAGTTTTTCTGTATTTTTTGTGTATGCAAATGATGCAATTTGTATTATGTGTCTTGTCTATTAGATCATGAAATAAAGAGACAACATTTCGGGTTGGAAGCAGAAATGTCAAATTTGTACTAATGGCAATATTGCATTCGTTGTAAGATACTTCTTTGAAGTATAAGCCCCTATTTGGCTCCCATTTCTTAAAATCTATTTTCAACCGTACATTTCACATATTTCTATCAAAATTTATCAAAAAATTAATTTTTATTCAAGCTAAACAGGGCTAAAGTTGATGACCGAGATTAATGGACTCTTTAATTCACGCCAACTTGGGTGGTTCTTACACGGCTGGCTAGTACCGGACCTAGAAATATGTTCCCTTTGCACGTCTTAACTAAAACTAAAAGAAATAAAGTAGTAACACAAAAATAGTAAAAATGTTTTAATTTTTTATACATTACAATTGTTTCCACAGGTTTTCTTATTTTAAAAACATGATATAGCCATTATCCATATCATTGCTTGTATTCTTCTTAATATTCACAGTTTAACTGTCATTGATTTATTGATCACTAATTCAATTATAGAACTGAATACGAGGATGTGACTACTAATGTAAAGGTAATATTTATAATCAATTCTCAACTTTTACGTTGCAATGGTGAAGAAGATAAGAGTTGGAGTGGCTGGGGACTCGGTGATAGTGGTGGTTGAAGTTGGGTTGGTGGTGATTGTGGTGCATTTGGCTTTGAGTTTCCTTTTTTTCCTTTCTATAAACAAACTAACACTTCATAATTTAAATTGCCGCTCATTTTAGTTTCTATCATCTCTAATCGTGTAGCAAGAGATACAAATATATGTCTACCAAGTTAAAGGTGAACTTGTTGTCCTGCTGATTTCAGTCTATATTACAATGGCAAAAACAAGCGCAAGGATAGCATGAGACCAGCAGTTAAGAATGGTATACCGAATGTTTGAAAATGAGCGGTCAGGCCAAGTGGGAGGCAAAAACTGTATGTAACCACCTAGCAGTGGGTTGTGTCAATTGCACGTAAGAATTTTGAGTTACATAAGTATTGAGGCAATAATGACAGCATTTTTTACCCTTCGTTGCCTTGTAAACCAGTTTTCTTTGTTTTAAAGAATTAGAGTTTGGATGTTCCCATAATCGTATGTTCATATCTATAATTCTTATAGTTTCTACAATACTTTAGACTAAATTCAAGTGTTTTCTTGACACTGACATAAACAATGTTGAACTTCATGGTGATTGGCTGATTAAGACGAAAAATCTTAGGGTGTGTTTGATTACATTTATTTTCCATGGAAAATATTAGTTTTCCATCCAAATTTTCACTTGGAGTGTTTGATTGCTATTTTTTTTCATGGAAAACATTTTCCAACTTTTGAAAATATGCCTAATTTTCTTTGTTTTTAAGGAAAATATTTTCCTTGGATAGAGGTGATTTTTATTTTCCACAAAAGATGGAAAATATTTTCTTTTCTAGCTAATATTTTCCATGTTAATCAAACACATTCTTAGTGTCACTATATACGATACCCGAAATCTTTGACAACACGTGATAGTTAAGTGTCTAGATCCTCCAAATTAGTAAATCATCTAATTTAAAAGGGGACAAGATGAATTTATTTTGCACTTTTCCGCTCTTGAATGTCTAATTCCCCGATAAATCAATTTGAAAGCTAAGATTCCCTCATACTAGCCTATTAAAATCTTCCATTTTATTATTTAATACGCATTTGTATCATCGACAATGTAACTATCAGAATCTCTATACTTGGGACACCCGATAATCGTTTTTGGGATTCCTTTTATTATTTATTACTGTATTTATGATTATTAGCCACTAAATATATACTTTGTAGCCAAAATGGGTTTGAACCAAAAACTTATCAGTCATATCTCACATGAAAGCATAGTGCTGATTTTTGCACCAAAGTACGAGGATGACTGACTTATGTTATCAAGAAATTTACGATCAATTCCGTTCAGAAGTCAGTGGCTTTCTCAAGCAATCTTTTTAAGAAAAACATCGATTGACTTGTATGCCCCAAACACTTGAAAGTCTTCAGTCTTCCTATCCTGATTCCATAGCTATCAAACCTCCGTTAATACAACCCAACATTCTTTAGCAGCAAATATTCCAATTAAAAAGGCAAACTTTAGTGCTGGATGAGAGCCGGTGTTTTCCGAATCATTATTTAATTTGGAATTTTGTGCTTTCTTGTACAAGTCTCTTGTTAAATTTTGCCCCAGGGGGGGCTGAATAGAATTAAGAACATAGTAGAAATTAGAATAAAGGTTGTTAGATACCTTCCTATCATTCCCCATGTCAACCAACAACAGCCACAAGTAGGTAGCATAAAAGCAGAGGAACTTGACCTGTTATAGGACTTGTTCGGAAAAATTTAAAAATTGTAGGAAAAGCATAGGCAAGTAATACTATTGGTCTATAAATCAGTTTGTACCAGAAATTTCGTACTTTTGCAACTTTTACACAGGAACAATGGAGTACTTCACAATTTCGCACAAAAATATATACATCTTATCTCAGATGGGGGAAAACTGAGATGATGATGATATATGCATGACATTAAGGGGGAATAATTCATGGCCATCACTGTTGAGAAATAATGTTTAAGCCATTCGACCTCAATTAATTGGATAAGCAATGATTTGCTGAAACCTGTTGAACAACACAAAATCTTCACGTTAGCTTTACCTTCTCATTGAGAGAGTTCAAGGATCTCTCTCACATCAGAAGCCATAGGATCCATTGCAGCCTCTGTTACGCTGTCATCCATTGGAGGCAATGGACGATAATATAAGCTATGTTCTTCCTTTTCCAAACCTTTAAACACCCACACCTGACTGCTACAAGCTGGGTCCTTGAACGACGTTTAGATAGTGCATTTACAGAATGAACATTGCAACCAAAAGATAAAACAGAGGCTGGCCATCAGACTTTCAATAGACAATAGGTCTTTGCGCCCCATAGAAATCATATAATTGACCCATTTTCTTCAACCACTATAGTTATGACCTCTGCAAGCATCACTAATCACAGAAATTAGTACTGACATTTAATTCTCATGGCAACTAAGAATACATCAAAACTTCTTGCTTAGCATTACATAATCCAAATTTTCAAATTATGCGTATATTCCAGAAGACAAAGGAATATAATACGCTTAATAGTATTAACCCCAATGTATTTACTGTTTAACAAGACTGTCCAATAAAATAAGAATTAAAATTGACCACGGACATACAATTCCAAATTATTGGATGAAAAACACAATTATTTTTTACCAAGAAAAATATTTACAGTGCTGAGATACAAAATATTTTACGTCAAGAGGAATTCTCAAAAGAGCTACACGATAGCCTAGTCGGATAAACATTTCCAAAATCATTTTTCCACAGAATAACTACAATAGAAAAAGTTTCCAGCAACGATTTTTTTCACTAATGGTAAACACACGTAAATCGATTTCACTTAACTATGACTGAGAAACAGATGTTCCAAATATTCGAACAAAAACAGAAGAGGAAAGCAACTAGGCTGTCTACAATAGAACATAAATAAAAATCAATTATTGTTCACAACTGAATAATTATTCTTTACGAATATTCTGCACTGAGGAAATCTGTGGCTTAATCCTTGCATTCTATCTCTAATCGACCAAATCAGGGTTAAATAGAAAAGTATAAAAACCTATCAAAATTGAACACTCTTCTTTCTTGGGTTAGAATAGAATACAAACCCCTAACTCCGGAATGCCTCGGATTATGACGGAAGAGAGTAGCACCGTGCGATAAAATTTTGGTAGGTAATTGAACGATTGTTGAATGATTGAATGGTTGCTTGAACGGGGAAAGCTGAAAGAGAAAGAGTAAGTAGACGATAAGTACAATTAATTCAAATTTTCATTTCGCTTATTCCCTAACGCCACATAGATTCTCCAGCCAGGCTGAATAGCATTACTCAAGGTGAAAATAAATTGAACTGCAGGGGGAGGTTTGGAACCTCTAGAGGGAGAAGAGGGATAATTTAGTCAATAGCGACTAAACTTTAGTATAAGTTACTAATTGTTCATTAAATTTTGCTATAAATTATTATTCCTCACTGAAATTTAAAATACTACTCATTACTCACCCAAATTCAAACAAAATTACTCATGGTTCACTGAACTTTGGATGAAAATGATAATGAGTTATTGATGAGTAATCTTTGTTCAAATTTTGGTGAGTAACGAATAATCTTTTAAATTTCGATGAGTAAGTAGTAATCTATATAACAAAATTCAATGAGCCAAAAATTATTATTTGAATTTTGATGAGCAAATAGTAACTATAGCAAAGTTTAGTGAATCATTTAGAGTGTGTTTGATTATATTTATTTTTCATGGAAAATATCAGTTTTCCACCCAAATTCCTACTTGTAGTGTTTGATTGCTATTTTTTTCCATGGAAAACATTTTCCAACTTTTGAAAATATGCCTAATTTTCTTTGTTTTTAAGGAAAACATTTTTCTTTGGTAGGGGTAGTTTTTATTTTCCACAAAAGATTGAATACATTTTCTTTTTTAGGTGATATTTTCCATGTCAATCATATTGAATTAACTCGGGACAAGAAAGAAAAGGAAGGGAGTAAATAGAAGGAAAAGGAAGGGAGTAAATAGAAGGAAAAGAAATATATGCTAAATCTTTTTACTTTTAATAAATATATATATAAATATATATATATATATAACGATTATGGACTTTACTATCTAGTCTTCTCGAGTCATAAGGAAGACTATTTGGTCAATTTCTAGGGGGTATCACACTGATCAGTATCAATGCGCCGTCTCTATGGTCTTTTCCTTTCTTGTTTCTTTAATTAGTCCAATTGCAACATGTATCCTATACTAGTTGACACGCAGGCCTAAATGAAATTGGACTCGCATGCCCATAGCAATAGTAATAATAACGGACTCACATGTCCAAAATAATAACAAAAATAACGGGCTCACAGACCCAAAACAATTAAGAGCTCGCAGACCCATAAAACGACAAGAATAAAAATTAATGTTCTTTCTCCCTTTTATACTTCATAGGCGATCCCTTTGTGATTAACTGCTCTAAAAAACTGCTTGATCGC